TATATATATATATATAACCGTCGTTGAACAGTCGACCCGATTTTCGGGTATACGACTATTAATGTTCAACTCTACGTAGCCTTTGTAATTTTGAACCTAATCTAGAACACAAGGGAGCAACTGGATCAAGTTTTGGGAGAAATTTTCCTCCGTGGAGGACCTTCTGGTGGAACTAGGAACTAACCTGCATTTGCGTTACCTGGAGAAGAAAAACCCCCACGGTTAGCCTGGTGACAATGGGACTCTAACCCATAATCCGTCTACCACTGAGGATATTTCACGTCCGCTCTGTGTTAGGTGCAAGCCGGATGCCAAATTCGCATCCACCAGCCATCGTTGAGATTCAAAACCGGTTCAACTCAGTGGAAGACGAACTCTCTATCCGCTGAACCATCGCGCCACTGTGTTTTTTTATTTTTTTAAATAATTATTGTTGAAAATTGCCTTCAAATGTCTTCAATATTAATTTTTTTACCATAATTTTTTGATTTGGTGACCTACTTAACAATTTCGCCAAATCGTACGATAAAACAGTCATTTCTTTTTCAGTGCAATAGTTGACAATACTTATTAGAAAACGAAGAAACATTGAGTGTTTTACCTGAGCATAAATGATGAAGAACATCTGATTTTTTGTTATTCCTGGTAGAATCACTTCAGGGAATGATGATCTAGAGCGCTTGAAACTCTGAAACATAGGCTCATGAATAATTGTTTCATCAAGAATAAGCTTTATTACAATAATGGAAGAGACACTTTTAGTTTTTTTAAAAATTTCTCAAGAAAGGATTATTTTGTAACTTCAGAAGTTTCAAGCGATTCTCATACATGCGATTTTTCATACTTAGCAATAAGATTTAAAGCTCTCAGAGATTAAGGAGAACGGAAAAAAAAGGATTTTTTAACACCCTATTCCAGAAAATGAAGCAATAAGCGTATATCTTATATAGATTACTTTAATTGTTATTTTTAATAATCGCATAAAGTTTCGTAAACCTAGAGAAAATATTAATGGAGATATGGACATTTTAAAAACAATTAATTTTTTGGCCCTAAGCTTTTTTTGCTATAACTTTATAAATATACGATGGAATAATTCAAAATTTCAATTTTGGAGCAATTTAAAAATGTATTACTAAATTGTTGATTTAAAATTTTAAAATAATTCGTTACAAACAGGACAGCCGTGGAGTTTGAATCCAGCTGTGGAGCTTGAATCCAGCCGTGGAGTTTGAATTCAGCTGTGGAGTTTGAATTCAGCTGTGGAGTTTGAATCCAGCTGTGGAGTTTGAATCCAATTTGGAGTTCGAATCCAGCCGGCCGAAGACTCCCCGTGTAGTAAATGGTGACTGGTGTATGTTAAATCTCTAGGGTCACAAAGTCCTCCATGCTTCCATAACAAATTATATCTCTTGGGGTACTGGATTAAGATTGATCGTTCTCTAGTTCAGGTAACAATTACGATCTGTTGATGAATGAATTGATGTATGAATGGATCCCTCATAAATGGGAGTGGCGTATGAGTGTGACAGAAGTCGAATTCTTGGCCATAGATGGCGCCACCGGAAAACAAGAACAATCGCAAACCTTGCCTTAATGGACAACAACAAGAAATATCCCATTTGGTTATAAATTACTCTAAAAAGCAGAGTCACGAAACATAAGAATAATAACTTTTAAATATGTATGCAATGATTGTTGACTATAAGTCTAAATACAACAATGATAATTTTATTTTTTAAAGTAAGACAAGAACAATAATGCACTAAATAGAAAAGAATTGGTTTATAATGAACTTACATTGTGATTTTTCCGAAAAAATTCATATTCAATTTCAAAAATACTTCGAGGTAGCAAGGTTTTGAGAAGAAACCCTTCGACTTAGGTATTCAAATTAACATTAGATGAATATGCAATAATAAGGAGAAAAATTTTTTTTTGCTGACATAACAAGATTTTCGAGAGTATACTGCCATTTCAAATTTGGCAGTTTCAGTTGCTATTTAGAAATATATAATTATACTTTTAAAGTGATTCACTGCATTTGAATACGTTCATTCAGTATGCAATTATATATTCCAGGCATTGAAGACAAAATTTCTGTAGGTCAGGACAAATTTTTTTTCTCTATTCTATTTTAAAAGCAATAAAAAGTTTCTGTTGCATACATAGGCATTTAAGAGTACGCCATACAACGGACAACATTTTTCGTCTCAATTTCTCTTCATTGATAATTTTAAATTTAAAAGAAAGAGAATATAAGTTCAGGCAAACCTAAAGTATGTCATGAAATTTCAATTGCATTATTATGAAATTAGCAATGATGGAGAATTTTCAAGGAAAATTTTTTCCGTTTTATGGCGTCTTCTTAATATCCACTTACTTCATAAGCCATTTCCACAGCGCAGACGTCAAATAATACTTCCTTCATCAAATTTTCTTCCTTTATCTGAAAAAGATCGAATTTTGGAACTAATGATATCGTAAAAGCGACTTACTTCTAACATTATAGTCATTTCAGTCAATGTTTCCATCCCTAAATTGTTTAAAATAGATTCCTTTAAATTTGAATCTGTAAAAAATTTTACTTATCTAGGATCAGAAATAAACTATCAAAACGACATCAATCCTGAAATCAAAAAAAGAATAATCGCAGCCAATCGCTGCTTCTATGGTTTAAGATCATTATTGAAATCTCACTTAATAAAAAGAAAGACTAAGATCTTTCTTTATAAGGTATTAATCAAGTCAGTTT